GCTTTGAGCAACCTGATCTGGTGAAGGATGTGCCTGTCCATGGCAGGAAGGTTGGACTAGAAAGTCCCTTTCAACACAAACCATTGTGTGATTCCATGATTCAATGAAAAACTATTATGTGATAAAAGTTTTTAACATCAGAGGAACAGAAATTTGAGGGGAGACATCCTTAAGGCAGAAATTGGGTCTCAGAACTTAATCAGTGCATTTTTAACATTCTTACTCAATAAACAAGCTGCTACTAGATAAAAAATTAACTTCTAGAAACAAGTATGAAAAGAAATACCTGATTTTTTTTTAGAAATTCACATACTATTACTCATGTCAATAACTCATTTGCTTTTGCCTAAATACCAGGTACTATTAATCACACATGCAAACATTTATGAAGTCTGATGTTCAAGGTCAAATTGCACTTTACATAATTTATATAGCCTACAGTAAAAGCCTGAAAGGCTAAGAAACTTACCATTGTGCCACTAGCTATACAACACCAGGTGTCAGAGTTTCAGCTTACAGTCACATTGAAGGTATATGACACACACTCTAGTTTACCCTCCTCTTTCAAATACAATCTAAATGTTCAGCTGCAGTTCTGACTTCTCCCTGCTTTATATTGTACTTTTGCAAATGTTATTTCATGCTGAAGGGCCTAACCCCTGGTGCACAGGCATTAATCGGAAAGCATCAGACCCCTCAGAGGCATTCAGGCAGATGTCTTACAAGGAAAATGGCAATCGCATGCTGTCAGCCTTGATTTCATTAAATGCAAAACCGACAATGTAAGGATTTAAGTTACATAAAGGGCAGATTTCTACCCCTGAAGAGTAATTTTGGTTGCTAGTCAAACTTCTTCCCTGCTTCCCCCTGGGAATAGTGTCTGTGGAGAACAGCATTGCACAGATCTCAAGAAAGACAGGACAGTGCCTGGAAGAACATTTCCCACTGGTGTGGGAAGTGTCTGGACCATTTGTTTAAAAAAAATCATGTCCCAGAGGCTTGTGAGCAACACATAGATAGAATGTAATTAATCAGGACTGAAACTAAGGCAGAATTCTTCCGCTGTCATTTTACATATTAGAAGAGAAATAGGAAGAGATTACTGCACTAGATGTTGTCTTGGTACTCCCCATCCGTTGCTGTGATGGCTTCCTCAAGACGAATTGCCGCGCTACCCATTAAGGCAAATGCTGGGTACATTATGCCAGAGCAGTCCACGTTGCACTCATAAAGGCATTTCATACAACCAGCATCGTAAAACCCCACCTTTCCTTTGTCCCAGTCAAGGCAGATGCCCATGCACGACGGCAGGGGAAAGATTCTGCTCGCCAGATCCTTGGGGGCACCAGGCGTCATGGGGATAAAGAACTTCTTCATACCTAAAGTGACCAGTGTGAAAGGCTGTGATGAGTCAAAGGAGGTGTCTTCACTCCCGCTGTCATGACCACTGTCTTGATCGTATCTAGAACAGAAAAACAATCATTTGCTTTTGTCAAACTCTAAAGTGGGATCAGCGATGTGAGCTGGAGAAAACTATTTTACAAGATAGGTAACAGCGCATGATCACCCGCAAAAAAAAAATACCCAAGCCAGGAGGGAAAATGCATTTAATAGGTGGAGAACACTCACCTGGGCCACCTCACTAACAGCTAAACACTAATGAGGATGAGAACACAGAAGGCTTTACTGAGGAGTGGATATATCTCAATGTACTCATGCTAGGCAATCATTAATGAACCTACCTACAGGTACAGTAAATTAGATAACTTGAGAAGTAATTTAGCAAATATGACTAATCGTTACAGACGAGATATGTTTAACTTTATTTACATAATGTTAAACGACACCAGTAAATACATTTAACATTACTGTTGTCCTGTGAGTTTTCCATGACACTGCTGTATTACATCATCTTTAAAATTCACAACACAAGAAGTAGTGGTTTAAGTTTTGGTTTTTTATTTGGTTGGTTGTTTTTTTTAAATGCTCTGCCTGGAGGCTGACCCTGCCTGAAGCCCTGTTTCCGAGTTGGTTACTGGGGAAAGTCTGTAGCCAGATTTGTTCAGCCTATGTGCTCTTCTCCCTACTTCTGGCCCCAGATAAAGACAAACCAGAGAAGCACACATTCTTCTGTGCAGACAATTCCTAGCTAGGTTTGTGGTTTTGGGGTGTTTGAGTGGACATCAGATGTGTGTCAGCTACAGTTTTCCAGATATTTGTCTGGATAAGGAAAAAGAAATCGGGAAATAAGTATCCAATTTCTCAGTTTGCAAAAAGGCTCCATCTGACTTTCATCCACTCAAGACGTTGGTATTTTTACACTTTTCAGTATGTTATACAGGAGGAAGCCAATACACTTGTTAGATTCCAGAAAAAGTTAAGAGCCCCTAGGAGATAACCTCCCAGCCTTCAGTTCCTAGATGCATCCAGGCTTACTACAACTGGAACCAAGAGCTGGAAATCTTTTTCCTGGTTAGTCCACTGTACTTTGGCTTGTGCTCAGTAGCACTCCAGTACCATATGCAAGCATATAGTCTGGGATAAGCCAGGGGCTTGGAATCCACCATGACGCAAGCTACAGCGAAGATACACAGATATGCACAGTGAACGTTGTACCTCTGAATGGCTGCCAAACCTAGTATGCAAAGGGAATTAAGGCAGAGTCTTACTACTGACAATTAAGCATTGCTTCAGTCTTGCAACTGATGCTTTTTTTTTTACCTTCTTGTTTTAACTGGCATATCTTGACATCTACAGGAACCTGATTCCTTTTCCAGAAAGAGAGAAAGAAACTAGGACTCTGGGTAATTAGAACATGTTTATGGTAATAGCAGGGGATGAACAGGACAATGTGCTTACACCATATCCTTTAAGCCACTTTCCACTTGTTAGGTTCACCTTTTGTACTAATTGAGACCAGACTTACTCTTATTTTCAAAAAAGCCATTTCCTTATATAAAACATGTATTAAGCAAGAGTCTGCAATTTACCTTGGGCTGATCACATCATGGGTATTATGGAAGAATTTCTGTATCTTGTTGCTGGAAACAACTCCCACTTTCACTAGGTATGAATAGTCTTCCACACGAAAAGCCCAGAAATGCTTCCCTTTGGCAATCCCAGTGTCACCAATAATGTAATCCAGGGTTGTGTAGCATCCCATCTGCATGCAGTCAGATCCCAGCAGTAGAGGAAATCCAGCCCTACTTTCCACAGAGGTTCTTCTTGGGTTCAGCAAGAGATGTTCACTGTTGTACCCACATTTGTCATCAAAAAGAAAACTCAAAACTGAAAAACAGTATCCAAAAAAATTTCTTCTTAGTCAAGTATTTGGCCTTCTGTGCTTACAAACTACATTTTAAGTTACACTGGCATTAGAATTTCTCACTCTTAAAGGCTACCAGGAATGTCATGCAAGCTAACACAGTATCAGTATGCTACCTACTTAACCTGTTTGTTAACAGTACTTCTAAACATTTATGCAACCAGTAACAGTATAATAGAAGTCTGGGAGCTGCTGGAAACCACCTACAGCTCTTAACACCAACAGACAGATTCAGCACCTTGTGGACATAAGAAAACCCAATACCTGGAGCTGGAGGCATACGCAAAATAACTTCTCGGCTCCAAGGGCTACAGATTGACCCTTTATATGCTCGAACTCTAAAGGCATAGCTGCTGTCGATATCAAGATCGGATATTACTTTGCTCTTGCTGCAAGCTTTGATCTCCTGCCATATCACACTCTCCTCTTCTCTATTAAGCTTATGATACTCAAGAATACAGGTATCAGCTGAGTCTGTCTTCCCAGGACTCTCCCAACTGATCAGAGCTTTGTTGTACATTCTGCTCTGCTCTTCATTGATTTCTGGTATTTCTAGACCTGGAATGCCAGAGATTCATGAGAAAAAAAAATTAGATATACTTTATTTTAGAATTAACCACACAAGCCCTTTGTTGAGTGTCTATAGCAGAATGTGTGGGTGGGGCAGGGCAAAATCTGACTCACTCAGTTAAGTGCAGATGAGGATGGTTCTGCTCATGCACTTAAGGAAATCCCTTACTTTTTTTATTTACTTTGAAAGTTGCATTATTTACTTTTGCCAACAGCTAAAAAACACATATAAAAACCTATTATTTTCCGTAATGTAAGAAAAAGCTTCTAGGAAGACCTAGTATTACTTAACTACAATATTTTGGAAGCTAATGTAAACTGGTACTGTATGCAATTGTACCTTAGCTTCTTTATCAAAGCTGAAGCTAGCATTGCTGCCAGCTAATGCCTTGTGGATCATGGAGACAGAAGGGACAATGCAACTGACAAGACTGAGTTCTGCAGCTGAATCCCTGCGTGAGTTTTGCCTCTTTCCACAGAAGCCCTTAAAGCCTTAAAGCCATAACTCAAGAAAGACATGATGCTTTCACAATTTACCATTGAATTGGAAAGACAAGTCACCAAGAATCTCTTCTTGCTTGGTTATGTCCACCACAAAGTCTTCAAAAGTAGTTTCAGCTGCTGGCGTGAAGCTCTTCAGAGATTCGGTAGCTTTTTGGATTCTGAAAGCACAGAAGCAGAGGGAAGGCAAAAGAGAGACGAAGGAAGTCACATGTGTGTGTTCCTTAAAGTAAAATTCTAGTTTTGCTTTAAAAAAAGTTCTGTTCTCATGTACTTACTGATGTCTTCCAGGAATTTCTGTCTCTCTAGACAGAATTTAAAAGCAACATTTCAAGGCCTTTTGTACATCAGCGTAAAGATAACGAACAGGTTATCAGTTCAGTTGGCAGAGCATTTTAACAATTTGGAGCATTATGTTCAAAGAACAAAACAGGTGTGAAGCGCTAATGGAGAGCATCTATTAAGATCAAAGAGTTTAAAGCCAGAAGAGACCTGCTAGATTAACTTGCAAATACCCACTACAATCTCTGAGCAAAGGAATGTGTCAGTGAGCTGAAAGGGTTACCCTTCCACTGCAGTCCTACCCAACAGAGCCCTTCCCATGGGCTGTTTCTTAACACACACTGTCATGTAGTAATTTCTACTGAATGGTACTAGGACCATCTCTGAGCCTCCAAAATACAAAGTACTGCATTCGGTCCTTTGCTAGGAGGTGTCAAAAGAATGTGAATGACCAGACATCCTGAAACAGTACCGGTACCTCAAACAGAACATAATTAAGATACCTGGCATGAAGTTGCTTTGCTGTTTGAACAAAACAAGATGGATCAGTTTCCTTAAGCACTTCTTGAGCATATCCTACAAGGCCATTATTTTCCAGGAGCCCTTGATATTCTTCTGCTTGTGCTTGCAATTTTTCCAGCCTTACATTCTTAGAAGCTTCAATTGTCCTAAGAGCTGCATTTTTCTTCTCTTCCAGGACATGAGATAATTTCTCAAAACTCCGAGATGCTTCTTCTTTAGCTCTTTCACTGTTGCACTAGGAGAAAACAAAAGACATTTTAGACAGATTCCACAGCGCTGTGGCCGTGTACAGAAACATACTTAAGCTTGTTCAAGATACCATAGCAGTCTAGTCATCTGTTTGACAGACAAGACTAACAAGCTTTGTTATGCTCTTGAGCACTGAAAATGCAATCAGCACTGCACCCAAGCTAGTAAGCATTTACTACCTTAACACAGAGAATGAAGAGCAAGGAAGTATTCTTCTGATACTGACTTGAGTTATGTACAGCATTTTTCTAAAGAGCTCATGGAAAAGCACTGTAAAAGCAGGTCAGTCTCTGAAGTCTTCATGCCCAAGAGCTAGGTGCTCTTCCACTTTCCCTGATCACCCTAAACTGGGGGTCCAGCCCAGTTTTTCATGTATGCTCTCAGGAGCACAGTGCCACCTCTGACTAGTGCCCTGGATAAAAGCAACTACAAAGCACAGAGACAATCCATACTGAGATACAGGCAGGGCCAGGAGCTCCTGCAATTTCTGCCATTGCATCTTCCAGTTTGTATGTAAGCTCCCGGGTCTGACTCTTCTGCAGAGAGATTTTGCTCTTAATTCTGACCGCACTGCAACACCCTCAAGGTAAGCAGACAGAGTCAATTGTGCAGCACCATTAATACACAAGCACTCTAAGTCTAACCCACCTCTCTTTGATTAAGGTATGAAATAAGCTTTATTTCAACTAAATTTACAGCAGCACCCAAAACTTAACTTCCCTCTGTATGTTGCCCAAATTTCCCACACTGTCAGGATTAGGTCTTACCGTGTGTGACTCAGGACTAACCCAAACTGTTCAGAAATTGTTTCACTGGCTAAGTGAAAAAAACCCAAAGGATTTGAAACACTTCACTGAAAACAGTTTGAGTCCCTGCTGTGTCCCTGCAAGGGCCATTCCAAGACAGCTCGTAAGTCACTCTTACCTCTGTTTCTTTCAGCAGCACATCCAGCTGTGTGATGCAAGCTTTCACCTGGCTCTCCTTACTGATGATGTACTCGACAGCTTTTGAAAGCTTATCCTGTTAAAATAAAACACCAATTGGGCAGAAAAAGGGTATCCCACCCGAACTGACAACCAGCGCCGGCAGGTCATCCAGCTAGTGCTCAGTTTATCTGGTTACAAGGACAACAGCCAGCCACCAGTTAGGACCAGCAGCTCCGCGCAGAACTGCTCGGTGACGCGCCGTGGCCGCGCAGGGACACCGGGCCACTGCTGTGAGCAGGACTGAGGGCACAGCCTCTAAGGATGAGAGGTAACAGCCTCAGCTGGCTCATCCTTCCCCAGCCACAGCAGTTACCCTTTCGCAGGCTAGGAAGATGAGGTTTCAGGACGTTAGTAAACTTACAGAAAAGCCTCGTTAGTTATTAACTCATTTGTAGTAAGACCGGCTAGAAAAAAATGAGTGGTTCAAAGCACTAATTTATGAGTGTCTCTGCACTTCCTTAGTTGCAAGAGTTAAAAGCTGTACAGGAAAAGCCTTGCAAACAGGCAAGGAGGCCAAAGAGCAGGAGGCAGGCCAGTCTGGTCTTTTTGTGTTTTTTTTTTCCTGTGAGCAAGAGAATAAGAAAAGGAAGAAGAGGAGGTAGCAGCAATCATTCTTTAATAACAAAGCAGTGTTTGCAAGTCCTCCCTGTTGCACTGTGCTTGGGGAATTAACAGCTACGCAACTTCAGAAACATACAAGGTCCCAACAGATACTTCAGATGCAAAATTTTCAGGAGTGCTTCTAAAGTAGCAGCTAACCCAAGCCACAAGGACGCTTAATCTGAACATCCAGGAGTAAAAGCTGGATTGTAAAGTATGAACTGCTTGAACCTTCTGCATTGGTCAGTACTGCTCTACAGTTGGCTAAAATAAGGTGGGAGCACTTTTAAGGGGTTATGTTTCAAGCCTCATAGAAAGTACAGTTTAGTTTCTCAGACATGCGCTATGTCACACTAATATATACATTAACAGATGTTGCACAACACCATGCCTCATGATGAGGAGTTCAGTGTCCTCTAAACACAGGTCCTGGCTTCCTGCCAGAGGGAGTTTGCAGTTACACCAGAAGCTCAGTACTCTTCGCCATCTTAAGGCCAGGTCCAACAACATTGACTTTTACCTTAAGGGTTTTGTAGGCAGTGCTCATGGTTGTTACTCTATGGTTTGCATGACATCCACCCAGTTTACAAAGATGACAAACAGGCCTTCTGCAGATTTCACAGTACATGTTTACCCTCTCCATTTCATGTTCTGGACACATCAAAATCTGAAAAGAAAAAGAGAGGAAAGAGAATGCAGGTTTGCTTCCAAAAAATGAGGTGCTCAACAAACCACCAAAACACTCAATCATTCCACAGTAGCATCTGATTCTGTATTTCTTATATTCAGTTTCTTGTCATCTTTTATATTTGTCCATGCCAGTGACAGCCAGCAGAGGAACACACACGGTTTCACGACGTTTACAGTGAGCAAACCTGTAGCAACGTCTGTGTACACATCACATAGCCTCTATACTGCAATCAACCATAGCCTCCATATTGCAATCAACCGTTTCAATCCTGTTCAGAGCTGTAAATGCAATACGTAACACACACTCCCTGTTAAATTTAATGTTAAAATCATGCCAGCATCTCAGCTCTCTCTCGAAATGGCTATGAACCGTTTCTTAAAGCAAGAGTTGACATAATTCTGTAATGATTTAAGTTGAAGCTAGACTTGGATCAGCCACACAAACATTGCTCTTGGAGCAACAAATGAAATGCAGCCGCCACCACCAGTCACAGTCATTTTAAAGACAAAAGGCTCCAGTGTTTCAATATTTCTGACTCCAATTACAAGTTGTTCACGCTAAGCGCTAATTCCAGAATCAGCTTAAACAGCATTGTGAAAAAACTGATGTCTGTTAAAAATCATCTTCCAAAAACTGAACATGTTGAAATAACTGCTCAAAGAGCAAAAAAAAAAAGTGCTGCTCAACTCCAAGCTCAAGCAACAGGTAAAACTGTCTAAAAGTGGGGCTGGAGGGAGGGTGTTAAAAAAAAAAAAAAAAATCCTTTGCCTCATTCCAGAGCACTGGAAGACACTTGGGTCCATCTACTCCATGTTACCAAAGAAGAGCTCTTGAGAAAGCTTTTCATTTCATGTCAAGGAGAAGAACAAGACAGCAATGCCAATAGTCAAGCTTTAAAAGTATCATCTTTTAACTCACAAAAAAAAAAAAAAAAGACACAAAAATAGAAAACTGTGAGTAGCATAAATACGGACACACTAAGCTAAAATTGCAGACCATCTCCGAAACTAATTCTCAAGCCCCAAATGTTATCTTGGGCTATGGTGAAAAGGCCAAAGACACCAGTCTCACTAGCGCCTTGGCACGTAAGACTGTCATTAAGCAGAATATGCAATAAACTATGGCATTGTCAGTGACCACTGGATTTCAAAAAAAAAAAAAAAGAGAGAAAGGAAACTTTCAGGAAAATCAGCTATGCAGACAGACATCTCAAAAAACTGCCGTCATGCTGTTAGCCTGCGGAAGTAATTTTTCCACAGCAGTGCACAGTCACACCTAACAGAAACCACATATTTTCATTCATCTCCTCCTCCAAGCAAGAATTACAGCCTGCAAGCTAGAGACAGAAGAGGTCAGCAGATTACCTTCTCTAGTTCTCTCAAAATTCAAGAACAACGAACCCAGTATGTGCTTCTCCCATCCCCACCACACACGTTACAAGTGCTCTCTGGGTGTAAATTAAAGTGATGACCTGGGAACACTGTTTAGGAGACCAGCAAATACTCCATGCATTCAGTTCAGGTCTTAACAACGTAGTGCAATGAAAAATGCACTTTTCTTTCTTTATATTAAAAGCTCAAACAGTCCTGAAAAAAAGTCTCCGTACGGGCACAGTAAAGATCAGTTTCCTGTTGTTAGGAAGCTTTTCCACAAAGTAGATGTATCTATAGTTGATTTAACTATACTATGTTTTTCTAGTTTTTTTTTTTAATTTTTTTAAACAGTACATGCATCTTCACATATAATTTAAAAAAGCTAAAACCCACACACGTGCACAGACTAGATGCATCAAGGTCGGAATGATCTAAACCACTTCTCCCCCTTTTGCTCTGCTTTAACAGAATTCACCTACTAACTTTTAAACCCAAATTCAGTCTGTATGTAGTATAACAACGTATGGTACATTTAAGAGTACACAAGGATCACAAGATGCCTTTGGGATTTTCTAAGTAGCAACGTTGCAGCAGTGAGGGTTTAGATACCATAGAAGCAAAGTTTTTAAGGAGCTGTACAGCATTTTACAGCTGTAATTTTACAGATTTCCAGATCAAGAGCTGGAAGACAGCATGCGAACTTCAACCTTACTCGTTTATCCAATAAAGTGACATTTCACAAAGATAGCTGTGTGCTAGTGCATTTTAAAGCGCATCAAGCACATGCTTGCTCTTAACTGGAATGAATGTGTTAGACTCAAGAAAAACTGCACTAAGTGGCCTTCTGTATGTTGACTATCTGCCAGCTCGCTAACTTTGAGGCTCAAATTTTTCCAGCCTCAGAAGGAAGGAACACCACCAGTCAAGAGCTTAATACACATTGAACATTAAGTAGAATTGATTAATAAAAATTAATCAGGACTCCTTGAATATCAGCATTTCGGATATCTGTGGGACCTGAGGTCACCGGCCACAGGCACGCAGCAAGTGCTGGGACATTAAGACCTACTGTGGTCCTTTGTTAGCGAGACGGCAGCTGTGATTAATTCCTCCTATCATGTAACTTAAGTCCAGTAAGGCACTGCAGTGTTCTGCACCATGCTTAGCAGAAGAAACAAAGATGACAGCACTTTGCAATCACTGGTCTGTCTGAATGCAGCAGCAGCAGCATGTGAAGTAGAATTGCCATTACATTTTTCTCTTCAGCTAGAGTTAAAAAAAATAATAGAGTGTAATAACAACAGAGACCTGAACTCTGCCTTTTGCTATTGGTAGATGCAAGGCAGAAGGAGGCAAAGCAGATACTTGGTGATGGATCAAGTTCAGGCAGAAAACATCCAAAGGGAAAATACTCTAAAGGGGCAGAGGGGAGGTCAGTTGTATTGGGTGTTTTAAGTTTACCACACACAGGCATCCTCCTTGATCCGACTTTTAGAGAAAAGCACTGCCATTCTAGATATTCAAGATCATTAAGTCTTACCAAAAAATGAAAAAAAAAGACCCAAATCACAAAACACACAATCCATTCCCCAAAGTAAAAAATCCTTATTTTTAGGGTACCCTTCAAATATGTTCTCAATGCCCTCTTCAATGACAACCACTTCAGCACCAACAAAGAACAAAGGTTTAGGGTTCACTCAATAAATAATGGCAATAAGTCAATAAAGCATGGTCCTAAAAAAATAAATAAATGGTCCTAAAAACCAACTACCGTTGCACAGACATGTCTGAAGCTAAATGAGAACACTGCAACTCAAATTCTGTAAGATACGGTATACTTACCTTGGGTCTGAAGTTGGTAGTTGGTGCTACATATTCATGCTGAGCTTTCACAGTTCCCCAGGGATGATGTATTTTAAAACATTCATTGCAATAGCTTGCACTGCAGTCCATGCAGCTCTTTGTGGACTCTTGAGGTGGAAGTTTGCAGAAATCACACATAATAGCAATGGCTGCCCTGGCTGCCTGTCTGTATCTTTCCACAATGGTTTCCAAAGTAAAGTTGCGAAATAAGCCATTGATGCCACGTTCTCCGAGATCGATATCCCGCTGGCAACCCGGACAAGGAAATATGCTTGATCTAGGAGTGAGTGAATTGCGTTTTCTCCCTGTGTAGACACGAAATCCTGATTTAGGAGAAGCATAAACAGAAGGGCGTTATGTTTTAAAGGCAGAAGCACAGGAATTTATAAACTGATTCCAAACTATCATAGCACATTGCCCAAACCAGTACAATACCAATTCGTATGCAGTCTGCCAAGCCAAAGAAAACACATTTGCCCTGACAAGACAGTGTAATGTCCGAGTCCAGAGGCCATTACAAACTACTACTCTAAAACTTAACTCTACATTAAGATGAATTTAGCTTTTCCAATCCTACCTTCTTCATCTAGGTGTGGATGCACTCAAGTTGCAGCCCTTTGAAACACTAAACACAACACCTTCCAGAAACCCACTGGTTTTAGGCTAACTGGCTGCCCATATAGAGAGCAACAGCTTTGTAGCATACTGAAGCGAAAGATGCTTACTCCCAGAGTGAGGCTAGTTATTCCCTGATAAATATAGCCGACTTCAAGCTCTCGGAAATTTGCTTTCGCAGAGTCAAACGTCTCTGGCTCATCCCGAGTGGCATCATAAAAAAAAAAAAAATAAAGAGGAAAACAAGAGAGCTAGATACTATCAGTATGAAACCTCAGCCAAATAATTTTGTCGAAATACACAGGGGCTGACTTGGCTCTTGCTGAATGGCCTTGATAAAGGAGGGCTCCTAAGGAAGCCCTGCACACCAAAGAGCATGTACAGATAGTTACGTCTGAGAGACCCCGCTACCCTGAACTGTGGAACCACAGATCTGCACGGTTACACTGGGTATGTCTACCTCCTTTCACTTCAAAAGGGGACAGCAGAGAAGCTGCACTCCTACCAAACTGCTACGCACAAATTTCCCCTCCTCTCCAAAATAAAGCGATCGACGGCTCAAGTAAAGCGTCAAGCCTAAGGAGCCTTTGGAACCTGTTCAAGGGGTTTGCTCACACAGACCCAAAAGCTACTTACAGGGTAACATTCCTGAGGCTATCAAACAGGGAGTGCATCCCCATGCCTCACTCCTGAACCCACAGGGCACAACTATCAAAAAGCATTACGTACTTCTGAAGCAGTCTAAGCCAGTGTTCAGGCTTAATACGTATCCTCTCAGCTTCCCCTTACAAAGAAACAAAAAAACATCCTCGGTAGTTGGAGCATGGTTTTAAGACCCCTTTGAGAGGACTGCATGTTGGTATAACTAAAAAAATTTGTAAATGGAGGTGTGACTTAAAGCTGAGTTCTTCGCGTTGAAATGGGTTCTTCTTCAGAAAGGGAAATTCGTTCCCATCTGTATTTAGTCGACATCTTCCCAACAGAAATCTTGATGCTTCTTTTCTTTTTGAAGTGTCCTTTGATGCTATCCAAAAGACACTTGCCTTGTGCCACTCTCCTGTGGCTGCTTCACAAACCTCCCTTCCTATCATGCCCTTTCCACCCTCTTCAAAAAAAAAACAAACAAACAAACCAACACTCCCATAAGAAAACAGTTCCTTTAAAAATCCTTGAAATGTGCCCCATGATACTTATGCATGACCGTCAGCTAAGAAGCCACAACCAGAGCGTAAGTGTGTACAAGCTGCCAGTCTCACACTCAGCTGATCTCATGCCTTTCTGTAGGTTCTGAGCAGAACAACTACACTGCATTTACAGAACAGTATGGGTTCTGTACCGGTACACAACTCTCTGGCTAAGGGAAGCAGAGATTTTTTTCTCCTAATTTTATTTTTTTTTTTAGTACTTACTTGAAGTAAATTAATTACTCAAACCGCATGTCCTGCAGCACCTGTAACTTGGCATACGCAGCAACGCACACATGCAACGCACAGCAACAGCAGCGAAACGCATTATTTCCATTATTTCCAATGTATGCTCCAAGCTAGCACTGCACACAGGAACACAGAGAGGTCTTCTACACAGACTTCTACAGCGGCCTGAGCAAAAAGATGATTTCGCATGCAGTGCCATGCAGTCAACAGCTACAGAAAGGGATCTGGAGTACTCACATTTGCTACAACTAAGAAAATAATGACGCAATGTCGTACGTACAGGGACTGCCTACAAGCGGTACACTACAGCGGAGAGCAAGCAATGACAAAGCGAGAGAACAAGAAAAAACAACATGGTGCAGTGGTCAAGTTTAAAAAGACAATCTGAAATTCGTATCCGGTAGCATGCTTTTGAAGTCTGGCCCAAGCGGCTCAGACGTGGAAGGGGTGTTTGTTTAACCCAAAGGTGAGCTCAGCTACATCCCAACGGAGGCCTTTCATTCTGCCCGTGGTGGACCGAAACGAGACCGTCATCACGAGTCATGCTCTGCGAAGACTGGTGACACTCTGCTTACGGAAAGCACCCCAGTACCAAGGAGGTCCTGCCTACCTTCAGATGTCTCATCCCTTTTCATTGACAGCACTCCAAGAGCCTAGGGTTGTTTTTTTTTCCCTCGATTTTAAACCCTGGAAGTTTACTGGTTAAGCTTCGTGGCGTGCTCTGACACGCCAATACTTAAAAGTATGGAAACATTACCTTTTTGCCTAGAGAGCATTAAAACACTAACACGCAGTAAGAATTAGTCTGCTTTCTGCTTACAGGATTTCTAGACTCATATTTTAACAGGAAAGCACTGATGAAGCGATAAATTTCTTGGAGCACTATCCTTCCTATCTGTCTTGTCTCCAGTTTGCTAAAAAATGGAATTCTACTTATGTAAAAAAAAAAACAAACACAAAAAAAGAGCAGCAAAAACCATGGATTTTGTAGTCGTATTAGATGTGCAGCTCAGAAACCTAGGTCCTCCCCATATTCGCTTTTACACTTTGCCAATCTGGTTTACAACAAACTAGTATGTATTATGTGAAATGTTAGGAATCACCACAAGAAATTTTCCACTGCGGTTTATAAACAGACCACTCCACTTGCAATTAATAACTCCATCAATAACTAAAAAATTAGCACAACATGTGCCCATGCTCAGACACCAAACTCTCAAATATTAGGATACAGATTCCAAAGACTCAAGTCAAAGAGCAATCTTAAGCATGTCTTTTAAAGACAATGTTTAAACATCCTCTTCCCAAGGAGGGGTACCAACACTTAAAATGTTGAAAAGCCCAATCTGCAGCTGATGGTTTGCAAAGGGATAAGACATCTTAAGGATAAAATTGTGTTTTCCAAGTAAACAGTATCACCAGAATTCTATGGTTATGGAAGACATGGAAGTTAAATGCGTGAGAGTTTAAAAAAATACAGATTTTAAAAGTCAACTGGATTCTTAGAAAAGTTTTTAAAAATATAAATGTATATTGCCACTCCCCCCCCCAAACTCAAGTTAATGCCTTGGGACAGATTTTTATGAAGAAAGAAAAGAAAACAAAACATGAGAAAAGTCAGTAGCTGCAAAATATCATTTTCAAATACTTTAATCTTCCCCAAATCAAGGGTTCTTTCCACAAAAAGAACAAATAAGGACAGCTTTCCAAGAGCTCTGATGGTGTCCTACGCTTATCTTTGGTTTATGGCACTTTCAGTGTTCAACTGAGGCAATTTAAACTTCCCCTTCCAATTAGCTGCTTTGTCCTCCACTGAGTGTGAAATTCAGATTTGTGTTTAGCTCAGTTCATGCCTTTCTTGAAGGACACAATACTTCTATGGATTGCTCATGTGCCTGCCAATATTATGGTAACACAGAGCATTGGGATTTTTTTTTCCATTTTTGACAGATCATCACATCAAAAAAAGAAGTATTTATGTTAACAAGCCCACACAGTGGCTGAGATGCTCAGAGTAGCTCAGTTTTGGAAATTAGATGTACTTAAAACAAAGAGACACTGCCTAACCTTCAACCAGACTGTGTTACTAAGCACGCCAAACATTACAAGCATGTCAATTTAAAATACTTAGTTTTCCTCATACATTCATGTGCTGTGCTAAATTTCCAGATCCAAAACTACCTACTCAGATTAACATGGTGCAAATTTTAATCAGCTTCTTTATCAAATTAAGACGGCTCAGACACAATGAAGAACCAGTATTACTTTCCATTTAAAAGCGATGGCCAATGATGGCCTCTAAATGTTACAAAGATCAATCTAATAATTACAATTCACTACCAGCAAGACAGCAGTTTTACTGAAATGTGAGCATGTAAACTCTTGAAAATTAAAAAGCATGGGGCGGGGGGGAGGGGGTGACTGTTGGGTTTTTGTTTTAAAGGGAAGAGAGAGCGTGTGGTTTTGCACCCATCAATGTATGTTCCATCACACACACCCACAAGGAAAAAAATATAATCCAACCCTTAACTGAATTCCAGTCCAGTTGACCTTTAAGTCAGTGTTAAACAG